TACCTTCAAAAGTTTTAGAACACTCCAGTTTTTTATTAAAAATTATGCACTTTAATTTCTAATTGCATTCTGAAATGAAAGCATAGTACAAATAAGCAATTGGAGTTAAAAACAAACAAACAAACAAACAAACAGATAATGGAATCAATTTATAGACCAAAATGTTTTCTAAACCTTTGACTCATCAAAGCAGCCACCTTTGGCAAATATAACAGCTGAACACATCCGTAGCATTCTTTCTACAATAGAAATCAAATATTCTTCAGAAAGTTCTTCCCATATCTGTTAAAGAATTTCCCATAAACATGTGGCACTTGTAGGTTAGTTTGCTTTCACTGTTCTGTCCAGTTCATCCCAAACCGGCTCGATGGTCTGGAGACTGTGCTGGTGACTCCATGTTTCCAAGCTTACCATCTTGTTCTTTTTTCCTGAGGTAGTTAGTTTGGACTTATGTTTTGGGTCATTATCTTGCTGTAGGATGAACCCCTGACCAACTAGGCACATACCAGAGGGTATTGCATGGTGATGGAGAATGTTGTGGTAGCCATTTTTGTTCAGGGTGCCTCTCACTCTGTACAAGTCACTGACCCTCAATCCAGCAAAACACCCAGACCTTCACACTTCCTCCTCCATGTTTGACATTAATGCCACACACTGTGGAACCACCACTTCGCCTTCTTGACGGCGTACAAAGATCCTGCGTGATGAATAAAGATTTCAAATTTTGATTCATCAGTCCATAATACCTTCTTCCAGTATTCAGTAGTCCAGTGGTAGTGTTTCATGGCCAAGCCTCTTTGTCTTATTCTGACATCTTTGCAATGGCTTTCTTGCTGCAACTCATCCTGTCAAATCTGCAGCTGGAAGTATTCTCCTTAAAGTTAAAACTGAGACTAATATTAAGCTGTGCTTAAAGCTGTTGCTGTGTGAGCTGTCTATCACGCAAGCTGTTAACTCTCTGTGCCAAACCTCTTCCTGTCAGAGTTTCCCCAGTTTCTGAGTGCCTTTTGATGGTGAAAGAAAAAGTACTCACTGACACCTAGACTTTCTTTGCAATTTCTTTGTAGGAAAGACCTACATTTTTAAGTGTTACAAGGGTCAGTCACTCTTCCGTTGCTAATTGCCTTTTTTCCCACAATTTTTGTAGCAACACACTACTTTCTGCAGTACAATATTGTTCAACTGATGCTCACGAGGTTATGGTACCACAGTGTGTTCCAACACTGCTTTTATGCAGACAAAGGGGGTTGTAAGTACTCGAAAAAGTGGGAACACCTGTAGGAATTAGTAGTACCAGCTTTCAAGGCATGACAACCTCCATTTCTGCAGAACAGCTTTAAATTGTTAACTCATTTTGTGTTTGCTGAAACAGGTCTTTTTGTGTAATTTTAAAATATACATTACTTCTCAGTTTTAGGTAACCTTACCTTTTTTTAACCCATGGCAGTCAACCATTTAGCTATGTACCACTTCAAGCTTGATCTGAACTGAACCGCAATAAATAACTGGAAAAATTGGGGTGTTCTACAACTTTTGATCGGTAGTGAGTGAGTGAGTGTGTGTGTGTGTGTGTGTGTGTGTGTGTGTGTGTGTGTGTGTGTGTGTGTGTGTATATATATATATATATATATATATCCACTATGCAACCCTTACTTCCAATATACTAGATTATGTCAAGTACTTTATGCAAGCTGAAATTTTGAATTTGTTTAACTTAATTTATGTTGTAATCAGAAATGATAACAGGCATGCATGCTCATCTAAATAACTTTAGCAGGAATTCATATCAGCATTCAATGCTAATGCATTTTATATTTAAAGTAAATCATCTTACCCCCACTCATGTTTCTTTTAGCTGACAGACGTTATTCTAAATTGATCTCTATCTGTTGCTGCTTATACTTGCTCTCTATCTTCGATTACTCCTCCCTCTGAGTTGCTGCAGATGAGGCAATACTCACACAGAGAGATGAAAAGACAAAATAACAGAAATGCCTCAATATACACTGATGAAGCAACAGAGGAGTGCATGACATTTGGTGAACCTAAATGAATATTTTTTGATTACTTTTAAAAGGTTACACGTCTTACTAGATTAGTATTTATTGCAGTGTGTTGTATTTGTATTTTGCATATTTCATTGTATAAGAGTAATTGCTTGTGGTTAAGTGTATTTTTTTCTGCTATATTATGCTAAATTTTAAACTTCCTCATACACTTTTACAACTCTTTGACCTATCAAACACTCACTAGCTGTCTGAGTATATGTTTCACAGATTAACCCAACAGCAGTGCAGTAGCTGTTTTGCAGACTATTATTAATTGTCAGTAAAAGTAGTACAATCCAGTGGGGGTGTTCAATATAAGGATATATATCGGATGACGATATAAAAACGTCTATCATTTCATTTTACACTATCGTTTGTTTCATGGTATCACAAAATAAACTGTTTACGGCACAATTTTTTCATTGTTTTGATGGTCACTGTAGTGGCTATAATAATTTCTTAAAGTTCTCTCTTTCTCTTATATTTAATATAACCACACTAAGGAAGGACAAGCTCCTGTTTTTATGCGTTGTGGTTAGCAACAACGACGGTAACACCATCGCGTGTCCGCTTGTTTATGTTCCACATAAACCTTTCACAATAAAGTTCAAGATCCTGTTGAGACTTTTCAAAATAAACAGAATCACGTGACAGAGCAGATTATTTACGGATGAGAATTAAAAAAGAGCTGCCAGGTGCTAAAAAATAAACCTTAGACTCAAACTTTAGAACAGGCTTTTCCCCGCAGCACGCCGTGTAATAAATACTCACAAAGAAAACGGTGGCTGTTACAACTTATGTCTAAAAATGTATCGTTTCATACATCGGTTAAAACACTCAACTCCAGCTACATGACGCGCAGTCGAGATTCACAGAATTTACAGAAAATGTTACATTTTTGTGATTTAGATCGTTATTGGGACAATAGAATTCTTATATCGGGATATGAGATTTTGGTCATATCGCACAGCCCTACAATCCAGTAAAATATCAATGCTATATGGAAGTACTCATTGATGCTGGGATGAGAAACATGTAAAGGTGTTTTGGTTTCTTTGTTAAAATATTCATTAGATGTGCTCTAAACTAATCCTTCCTGCATGTGTTGCAGCGGCTTTTATAAAGACAAAGACACCAGAGCTTGACAGACACACAGAAGGGATGGCACCAAGGCAAGACAGGAGGCATAGAAAGGGAATACAAAAGGGGATAAATAAACCCCACAGAAAAAGCAAACAGGAAACTAGAGGCACAGAACATAGCATCGTCCTAAGCCTGGGAATGTAAATATAATTTCATAACTAGAAGACTAAATAAGGAATACAGAACCAAAATACAAAAACAGAAATTCAGGAGAAGATATGGAAAACATGCTGCCTTGTTCTGTACTGAATAATCCAACACCATCAGAACTGAATGACTATAATCCAGTTGCCCCCATATCACATGTGACGAATGCACTAGAGAGACTTCTGTGCAATTTGCATACAGCCTAATTCTGGGAGTGGATCATCTATGCTGCAGTGAGCTTACAACTGCCTTGTAAGGATCAGCTTCTGTAATTTCTGTGCTTTTAAAAGGACTCAACAACATGAAGCTACAGGAAATGTCAGTAAAAACAGCAACACATCAGACCATCAGTGCAATAACTGCTACTGAAACTGAATAACACCTTAGATGGTGATTGATTTCTTAAGGGAAAGGATGGCTACGTGACCTGTGTCTGTTCAGGGACAGGATGTTGAGGTGGATTGCTGTGGTGGACAAATATGAGTCCCTGGGTTCCCATATTCTTCAAAGACTCGGCAATTAATTTTTGCCAGGAACATGAGTGTGAGACCTTTACATAAAGCACCATTCTTGTAATTCATATACTGTAAGTCCTACTGTAATATCCTGTAAGAGGCCATCCTGAGCTATCAATTAAAATCTATTGATGCCACTAGTGATGGGAATTCCAGCTCTTTTTAGAAAACCGGCTCTTTAAGCTTGGCTCACTAAAAAGAACCGTCTCTTTCGGCTCCCAACCAGCTCTTCAGGTTGTTTTATTGCTTTAATTAATATATTATCAACAACAATATAAAATTATGCACAAAATGAATGACTTTTTATTTATATATGTTTAATATATAAATATGCTTGTGACACAGGACCCCGGAACACACACACACACACTGGCGTTATGTTTGGGCAGCAGCCCTTTTATTTATGGCAACACAAACTGCAGCAGAACCGAGACCACACCTCCGCCACAATGCTTTTATTTATTCACTCCACATAAAAAAAAATTATATATATATATATAAATAAAACAACTATTTATAATTCAACTTTGCAAAAACTGTCTCATAGAGCTCTGGGTTGGTTTAGGTGGTTGTATACTGCATGATTATATAGATACTGCAGCAGAAGAAGCAGCAGCAGCACCAACAACAACATTTGCAGTAGACACACTGGCACCTTCAATAATATCACGCTCAACTGACTGTGTTTTATCTTTCCATTGCACTGATGGGTGGACAGTTCTCAGGTGCCTGTGCTGCTGGTTGTTTGTAGAGCCGGCTCTACATGACACTCTTTTCTTGCAGACTCTCTGCAGACACTCTGCCTTTGTATTGTCAATAAAATTTAAATGGTTCCAGATTTTGCTTCTTTCTTGGTGTCATTCATTTTCTTTATTATACCTTTCTAATGTGTCGATGTTGTCTCTTGTTGTTGCCCCGGCTCTCTTTCTCTCACTCCCTCCTGCTCTGTTCGTGTGCTACTGCTGCTGCGAGTGTAACTACCGCCCCTTCCTCCTGTGATCAGCAAAAACACAAGGCACAAACACATATTGACCAATCACGTCCGGCATGATGCGAAAAAAGGTGTGTGAGAGAGGGTGAGAGAAAGAAAAACAAAAAACAAAAACACGGCTCCCAATGAGGAGCCAGCTCCCATCATTCACTTCAAAGAGCCGGCTCTAAGAGTCGTTTGGTTTGCGACTGACCCATCACTACTAGATGCCATATTTGTGGGGGCTGGGCAGAGCACACAGATTAGATTTTCAAAATGACAAGATTTACAGCTTCCACATTTTATGGTGCAAAAGGTGGTTAAGTTATTAGATATTATAATTATGCTGGTAAAACTCAAAATTGGAGCTTCAGTTTGAGAACCTTAACTTTGATTTGGTAAGATTTCAGTAATGTTTAGTAATTTTACCTAAAAAAGTTTATTGAAATGGACAGAGAAGAATGCATGAGGGGAGTTGAGCAGCCTCAAATATCTGATGGTGTGAGTGAAGAAGATATCATGGAGCCGAGGGAACTGTTTATGTTCTGTTTTAACATAAACGGTTAAAGTTCCCAGGATGATTCTGATACATTTTGTGTTATCAAAAAGAGGAAAATACCATTTTTGGTTCCTTTATAAAAAAAGAATAACACTCTGTTCATTGTTCATTGTTTAAAGTTAAGAAAATACCACAAAGAGAACAAATTGTTATCCAATGTGCATAACCCTGACCATCACCCTCACCTCTACAGACAGACAGTAAAGCCACTTCGTTAAAGGACAGATAGGGGAAATCTTTCATACCATGTGTTAGTATCCTCTGTCATGGTCCCTCTATCTCTTTGGCTGGCTCACACTGGCTACAGGTTTTGTTGTTTTTCTCCTTCTCTCTGCCTGGGCGGAGCTCGTTACAGGTTCTTGCTCTTGGCCCACGCACCTGTGATTGTCACCACCTGCTGCTCTGGCTGAGTTCCCCAGCTGCTATTTAAGGCAGTGGCACAGAGCAGCTCACCGCTGGAACGTTGAATCTCCTGAGTTCGTGCTCTCGGCTTCATCTAAGGATCTCATATAAATCATATACATAACAAAATTTCAAGAAGTGTCTCAATCGTAAGTAAAGTAAAACACATTCTGCACAAATCACTCCACATTCTCTATTGTTCCCTGATTGCACCGTATTTGAATTACTGTGCAGAGGTTTGGGGCAATACTTACAAATGTTCGCTATCATCAATCTTTATATTGCAAAAAAGGGCCATAAGGATAATCCATAAAACTGGTTACAGAGATCATACAAATCCACTATTCTTAAAATCAAACATTCTAAAATTCACAGATCTGGTTCATTTTCTCACAGCACGAATTATATATAAAGCAATAAATAACCTGCTTCCTGACAATATTCTAAAAATGTTTTCTAAAAGGGAACGGGAATACAATTTGAGGGGGGAATTAAATTTAAAACATCCTCGTATCCGTACAACATTAAAAAGTTTTTGCATCTCTGTGTGTGGAGTGAAGCTGTGGAACAGACTAAGTAAAGATATGAAGCAATGTCCAAGCATGGCACAGTTTAAAAAGCGGTTTAAGGATATGGTTTTTACAGGGTACAGGGAAAAGGTAGAGATTTGATAGGGTGTTCTTGTCCAATATTTTCATGTGTGTGCGGGTGCACGGGTATGTTGGTATGGGTATATATATATTTTTGTAGGTTGTGTATCCTTGAGGTGTTAATGGGGTTATTGAAAATGTGTATATGTGCGTATGTGTAAATACGTATGTATGGATAGATAGAAACATATATGTATATATATTTTTTAAAAAATGAGAAAAAAAATACACATGACATATAATGTAATTGCAAGGAGGTATTTCTGTAGTCTATTGATACTAGATAGTGGAAAAGGGGTGGGATTAAAAAGGCTTATGCTTCTTCCTGCTCCTTTTTGAACATGAAAGTTATTTGGAGTTGTGGTTGCTCGTTTGCCTTTTGTTTTGCTTTGTTCATTTGTCTCTTTTAATTCTATTTTGTTGTACTTTTTCAACATGTTC